ATCGAGTTTTGGAAATTATGAAAATATTACATGGGTGGAATATTAGCTAAGGGGGTTTTCTTTAATTATTTTTTGAAGGGAGTGTTTCCTTAACTCATTTTCCTAGATGAGAAGGTCTTGCTAATTATCCCTTCAATTTATTAGATTATATTTATTTAGACAAAAATAAAAGCTATAAATCTAAATTCTATAATTCTAACAAATATATTAAAACAAAATCAACATAATCTAAAAATTTCACTAAAAAACCCTAATCGATAAAAGAAGTGAATTTTTTTTTTAATATCAAACGTAGCCTAAATCTTGTGAATAAATAATACTCCCTCCGTTCCAATTTAAATGACGTTTTGGGTTGTTTCACACATATTAAGAAAATCAATAAATGTGTATCGATTATAGTAAAAAGCATAGGAAAATACTAATATATCCTTGATATTAATTGTTTTACAACTAACTAATTAGGAGTTATAAAGGGTAAAATTGAAAATAATGCAATTAATGATGCATTGAAAATCTAAAATGACAAATAATTTGGGACAAGAAAAACTCTCTAAAAAGACATATAATATGGGACAGAGGGAGTATACAAATGTTCGATTACAAAATGATTTTTTTTCTAATAAATTTTGAAGATTGGAATATTTCCAAAAAAATTATGAAAATCCCTCAATGTAATATAGTTACCGTCCATAAATATTTGTTTTAAATTGAAGAATATATAACCTTATTGCAAGTCCTTTTCCTTGAACTTTTGGCAAAAACTTTAGACAAATTTTCCCAATTATGTCTCCATTTGTCCAGTAATTATTCCCATTTAAGATAAAAAGGATGATTAATTGAGATGCCATAAGTGGTAGAACATTTATTATCAACAACTTTTTGTGTCTTATATGAGTAAGAGCATCTACCATCGGTCTTTATATCGTCATTTTTTAAAATCAAACTTAGGTGTTTTTAACAACTTTACAACCGTAATTATATATCTAAAATAATGGCGATTTAGTTTCAGCCACTCATGGTGGTCAACCTCCATATCACTATATACATAAATCTTATTTTTATCATCTATTTTTCATCTCCAATCCTTCCACCATTTTTCTATTTTTGATCAAATTCTATTTGGCTATATGCAAGACTAATTCCACTTGTGCAAGATCAAATTAAAAATTTTAATGTATAAATACTATACTACCCTTACTTGATAAAAAAATAGAAAATTCCAAATGTGCAATACCAAAAACTCAAAAAAAAAAAAAAAAAAAAACCCTATCACAAAACCACAAGACCAACTCTCATCTTCTCCATCAAAACCTTTCTCCTTCCTCATCTACAAACCCACAAAACCTAAACATTCAAAATCATCAAAACTCAACAAATCTTACAAAGATGGTAAGTATGGGGTCAGAAAACATCAGAATAGAAGAATCTACGGTGGAAAAACCCAAGAAAATATGCATTTATGTGTTTTTTTAGCTAGAATATCGTTTTTCCAAAAAAAATTCCCGCGCAGACGCAGTCGACATGTACATGTCGAATTTTATAGGCAAAAATCGACATTGAGATGTCGATTTTTTTAGTACAAAATCGACACCTTAGTGTCGAAATTTAATTGTTAGCAAAGTAGTCCAAATATACTAAATTTCAACATTAAGGTGTCGAATTTATGGACATATATTCGACACCTTAATATCGAAATTTAGTTGTTTCATATTTAAAAAAAAAAAAAAAATCCCGCGCACACACAGTGGACATGTACATGTCGAATTTTATAGGTAAAATTCGACATTGAGATGTCGACTTTGGAGTAAAATATCGACATCTTAGTGTCAAAATTTAACTATTAGCAAATTAGTCCAAATATACTAAATTTCGACACTAAGGTGTCGAATTTATGGACATATATTCGACACCTTAATGTCGAAATTTAGTTGTTTCATATTTTTTTATTATTTGGTATTTGGTCTTGCATGAGCAAACAAAAGCCATTTAATTTATGGGCCGGTATATTTGTCATTTCATCTTAATAAAATGGAATCTTTTGGAATCTTTCTTTAATTTAGTCTTGCACAAGTGGAATTAGTATTGCATATAGCCGCAACCATTCTATTTTTGTTTTCAAATATAGAGGTAAAAATAGAATTTTATGTAATTAACATCATTTTACTAATTAACATATATATGAGGATTTTAACTAATTGCACGTAATTACCGACTTATTAGAATATATATTCCAAATAAATTAGTGTTAAATGTTAAATTAATAAATTAATTTTTGAAATATAAATATATTTTCTATTATTTCAGTGCTATTAAAATTTCTCACTTCCACAATCCGTTGCCCACCTCCGTCTTTTATCACCGGTCATTCCACCGCAGCGCCGCAATAATTTTCATTCACTATTATAGTTCCCATCACCGGCATGGCTCACCAAACTTAACAATGGTGAAAAGACAAGCTAATCATCTCACAATAAGTGTGCAGTAAAATCGTTGGTATATGCCAAGTGTGTCGTAAAACAAATTGTATGTGCAGAGGCGAATCCAATAAACTTCTCAAGAGTATGCAAACATTTTCGGGTAATGGGAGATCGAGATTCTGCCGGAAAAACTAATTTGAACTAATGAGATTTCGGGAAAATTTTGCAGGAATCTGAAAGGATTCGGAAAATATTGGTGAAAATATTTGAGGATGGTAAATATCTCTAACGTCTGTTAAACTAGTTTATTGATTGATCGAGTATTATTATTAATAAGAGTCTACTTTATATACATGTATTTGGATCTATATTTAACGTTCATATAACTTTATCGAGGTAAGTGTTCTATATCTAGAAAATATTGATATTGGTAACTTCGTTATCTTATCCTAAGAGACAAGTGTCTTCATAAATACATTAAACTATTAATTAAAAATCACACAATTACTATGTTATATATTTACTAATCAATACACTTAATTTGTATTTATAACATATACACATTGTAAAATTAAAATATATTTTTTGATAATTACGATTGAGAGGGGTAAATACAATTTGCCCTTCAAACAATCAAAGGGTAAAAAAAGTGGTGTCAAAATGTAATTTCTGAAAAGTTAAGGACCTGCTTGTTACATAAATACGAGCCCAAACAATTGTTTAAATTTTGAAGGCCCAATAAGAAAAAAGCCCACATGCATTCCCCGTTTATATATATATAAATAAAATCAATAAATCAATATATATCTCATTATTTTATGCCCCCACAAAGTAATTATCGATTTACAACTTCTCTTGCCCCTTTTCTTCGTCGAGCTCTCAGCTTTTTAATTACGCGACCCCTTATTCATCGTACGCAGTCGTTGCGCTGCCGCTGCTTGGTGGTGGATCCGCCGTCTTCCGTTAGCAGGTACGGCTGTGCCCGCATATGTGTAACCCTAGTTCTCTCTATTCGGTTTTATTTTGTCGTTTTAGTATCAGTTTTTTGCTATCGAATTGTTGCTTTCTATCAACGCAATTCAATCCCCAATGTCGGTACCTGTGTTTTATGTAATTCAATTTGCCGATTGACCTGTTGGAATGCGTGTTAGATATACTATAAACGATTGAAATTTTGTGTAGTTTGCGTTGTATTTTGGTTGCACTTTTTGTGATTGCGCTAATGAGTTTGTGTTGTTATTTATTGATGTTCAGATTTGGATCGACAGAAACTCGCTACTGTTTTTGCGTTGCTGAGGAATCATGTTTGGAAGCAACCGTAAGTTCCGGCTAACCAACTTTTAGATTTTGACATTCGATTAATTATTCTGTATTGCCATTGTTCGTTGCACTTGCATTTAATTTTCCTCTGAATTGCTCTGCTAATTATTATGTATTCAGTCTCACCTCCATTGATTTAATGTTCTAGTAACAGTTCAATTGAGTGCAGTGATTGTTATGGTGTATAATTTGTATATATGAATGACGTAGTACGCAAGTGTCTTCTGTATTAACGTTTTTCTTGTCATCATACAGCTTTTGGGCAGTCGTCCAGTAGCCCATTTGGGTCTCAGCAACCAGTTTTTGGTCAGAATAATAATGCTAATAGCAACCCATTTGCTCCGAAACCCTTTGGTAGCACGAGCCCTTTTGGTTCACAGACTGGGGGTTCCATTTTTGGCGGCATGTCTACTGGTGTATTTGGCGCTCAATCTTCTTCTCCTTTAGGTTCCAGTTCTGTTTTCGGTGCTTCATCATCACCTGCTTTCGGAAGTTCAACACCGGCATTTGGAGCTTCACCTGGTTCTGCTTTTGGGAACTCATCTTCAGCATTTGGTGGTAAGTGCATCTGTAAATATAAATTCAATACGTTTTCACCACTATTGTTTCTGCTTGTAGCCTTAACTCCTGATGTAAAATTTTAGCCGTTCATAATCTATTCGAGTACTAAATTTCTCTAGGGTATCTTGTTATATGATGGCCATACAGTCATGTTTTTTGTCAGAAAAAGGTGAGAAGTGGAGGGGGAGGTGGGTGGGTGGGGAGTGAAATTTCATAACCTTGTTTTGTGAAGAAGAGAACAGTTTTATGATTTGAAGTGGAGGGGTGCCTAACAGTTCATGACCTATGTTTCTCTTTCAATTAGAGGGGTCAAGAGGGATAGGAGAAGGTATAATTAAGTAACTAACATAAACTCCAATTGAGAATTTTAGCATACTAATTCTCACGCACTTCTACTCGCCGCACCTTGTATCCAGTACTAAAAGTATCACAGTCTCCTTTCTTGCTGACATCGTCTTCAC